CCAATAACCTAGAAAAGCCAATGAGAGATTTTTTGTGGGAACTACAAGAGGAAAGGAAGGACCACATGTTAGGAGATTGTAAGTAGAAGTAGGTCTGGAGGTGGGTTAGGAATTAGGAACATTCAAAGGAAGTATAGGAAGTGGCTGTGGAGACTTCTGGTGGATTAGGATAAACTCTGGGCAAAGGTGATTATTAACATCCATGGGCTAGCAACTGATGGCTGGGATGAGGAAGTATTGGCTTGAGCTACTACTGCATCTCCTTGAAAATCCATACATGCTATCCTTCTTTCCTACCTTTTTTCAGGTATAATCTGTGCTCTGGTAATTTGGTAAAGTTTTGGGAACATGTCTGGGTGGGGAGTTTGCCTTTGAAAGAACAATTTGGGTCTTTATTCTCCATATCCAACCTTAAGAATAAGCCTGTATCCACCTTCTTGTCCTCCTCTAGGAGGGGTTCTGAGCTTGACTGGAATTTGGGTCTTAGGAGGGGAGTCAGAGTCTTGGAGCTGGACAATGTCTTGGCTCTGCTTTTAATTCTACACAATGGGCTGGCTGATGTGCTAGCAAAGCAGGGGTTAATACACCCACTTTATTTTGGGGGGTCACATATATGATGGATTATCCTTGCACTGTAACTGTTAATTAGTATTTTAATAAATAATTTTTCTGTTCTGATAAAAAAAATCAAATTTGGACTCAAGCGAAGAGGACGTGATGATCAATGAAACCCATGGAGTTGAAAAAGTGCTGACCTAGAGGCTGTGGTGAATAAAGAAATGGAGGTAAGTAAAATATTGGGTTTGTTTTTCTTGGGGGGAGAGGAAATTGGCAGAAGGACTTAGATAAATGGAAGAAAGAGCTTGTCTGCAGTTAAAGAGTAAAAAGGATTCATAGGCAGATGTTGAGAAGTGGATGACCGATTTAAGAAATGAGGAAGTCCAAGAGAGACGGGTCTTGTCCGGGGACACTTCTAGAAAGGGAAAAAGGCTGGAGAAGGCAGATCAGGTGTTTGAGAAAAATGCGGTTTGGGAGTTAGAAAGAATAGTTTTTGAGCCTAAGGAGATACGAATTTTATTGAAGGTCTTGTCTGCAGTTTAGATGATTCAATGAATGGTTCAGGTTTCAAAAGTGTTCACAAGACTGAAGGGGGTTTATTTGGATTGGGTCCTGTTAAAAAGACAAAGAAAGCAAAAAGGACTTTGAATTAAAGGATCTCAATCTAGTAGGATAATAACTATTCCATATTGGTCTCAACTAGACAGAGGCTTCTTTAAGCTTAATTTTGATGGAAGTAGTATGGGAGACCCTGGATCATCAGGTATAGGTAGTGTTTTAGAGACGAGAGTGGCCGTTTTATTGCTCTATGCTCAGGACCAATTGGGGAAGGAGACTCTCTTAGAGCAGAATTGTTGGTCTTGAAGGAAGGAATACAGAGAGCAAGATTGTTGATCATTAGGAGATTAATTGTAGAGGGGGACTCTAAACTGGTAGTGAGCTGGCTACAATGTGATAACCTGTGGATGTGAATATACAGTAATCTGAAAAAGAAGTTTAAATGGACAACAAAAGACATGGAAGTGAAGATTCAGTGAGTCTGTGCTAATTCTATAGCAGATGTATTAGCCAAGTAAGGGGTGGAGAGGGGAACACTTTTCTGGACAAAGCTGTAAGACAGGAACTTTGTAGGGGAGATACAAGAGTTTTTGTCTCTCATTGACTTTATGTTGTATTATGTACTTTCTGTATCTATCTTTACCTTTTATATTAATGAAAATTCTGCAGTTATTGATAAAAAAAAAGTAATGAGATTTCTTTTCAAGATGATGGGGCTATTATGCTGTGAGCTTAGAAGGATTAGAGGGGATTAGAACTGCAAGCAGGTGGTTTCATTGTGTTGGATGGGTGGGATGGCAAGCCTTGAGTTTTTAGGGCTTTGAAGTAAAGTCATTGTGTGATTGATTTTTATGTTTGGTTGTATAGGGTTGGGTGGGTGCTTTTTTCCTTTTGCATTTCATGATTGGTGGATGGGGTTTGATGTGCAATAGTTTTTGGTTTGGTTTTTCTCTGTTCCTTTGGGAATGGGTCATTTCTCATCACCTTTTCTTTACCTTGTTCTTCTTTCTTGAATAAATTTTATTTTTTATTTATCTTCAAAAAAATCATTGTTAATTTAAAAAGAGCCCCTGCTTCTTCATACATTTAGTATGAATGTTGTTTTGTTGATTCAAACAGATTTTCTATGGAATGTTAGGGTGGAAAAGAAGAAATTTCGTTTGGTTAAGTGGGACTTTGTGTGTAGACCTAAAAAGATGGGGGATTGGGAGTGAGAAAGGTGTGAGTCCTTAATAAAGCTTTGATGGGGAAGTGGGTATGGAGGTTTGGGAGGGAGACAGAGGCTCTATTGGAGGATGTGGTGGTATGTAAGTATAGGGTGGTGAATTTTGGGTGGGATGTGAGGGAGGTGAGAGGTCATCTTATGGGGTAAGTGTGTGGAAGAGGATTATGAAGTTCATTGATGCTTCCTTCTTTCTCTTGGAGGGTGGGGAATGGGTCTAGTGTAATATTTTTAGAGGATGATTGGATTGGAATTAGAAAGCTGTGTGAGCTTTGCCCTACCTTTAGGAGATTTTTGTTTGATTGGGAGATGGAAGAGTCTGTGGAGCTGCTGGATAAGCTATAGGTAATGGAAATTGACCCTTTTGTCATAGGGTAGGTTTGCAACAGAAGAAACCTGTGTAGCGTCCAGGCCATGTGCGGCTAGGACAAGCCTAGTGTTGAAAGGGCCATGTGTTGGCCCGATGAAGGCTCCACCAAGGTTAGTGGCATTGGATCATGACCTTGCGGTGCATGGCTGAGGCTCTTTGTGGCTCTTGCCGGTCCATGGGAGGCGCCTCTTACGTGCCAAAGGGGGAATGCCATGATGTGAGACAACTGTGTGCCGATGATGTGAGGCACCTATTGTGCCGATGATGTAAGGCAACCGCTGGGTTGTGAACACACCTTGTGCTATGGACAATGGGGTAGCTTGATTAGCTTGGGCATGGGGCTGGTGAGGTGTAGGGACATGCTTGGGCTTGACCCGCATGGAAAGTCTCCCCTTAATGTGCATCGCATAGTGCCGGTCCATGAACTGTCCCCATGAGCGTGTGTGCCCATGAGGAACCTTGGTAGCCATACTAGCCATTAACCAAGGCCGCCCCACAAGGGATGTTGGTTTATGGAGTGCCAAGGTTAGGCACCCAAGGAGGTTGACCACCCCTCAAAGAGTACGTTAAGCTTTTGGAGGTCTACTAGTAGGAAACATCACTTTTCTGAAAAATCATACTGGAGATATTTACGATAGTGCCACTCAACGAAGGCACCAAGCGTAGGTTAGGCTAGGCCTGTGTCAGATTGTGACACTTTGGTTTCAGATGTTAAATGGTGGAAAGAATGTAAAGATGGAAGATTCACAATCAAACCTTCCACCTTCCTTTTTTAATAAATTCTTCTTCACTATTAAAAAAAAATCTATGTATAATGCTTTGATAAGGAATCAGCTGGAGGCTGAACAAATTAGAGGTGTTTGGGGGAAACCAGTTCCCTCAAGAGTGGAAGCTTTTGCATGGCTGATTTCAATGGGCAGCTATTTTGAAGAAAAGAGGCTATCAGTTCCCAAAGAGATGTGTATTGTGTTTTTCTGAAGAGGAGAATACTCTGCACCTGTTGGTCCAGTGTAATTTTGTGAAAAGAATCTGGGCCTATTTCTTCAATCTCTCCAAGGTGTCTTGATGGGTGCCAAGGGACTCTGTTGAAATTTTTGGTTGTTGGCCGAGAGTTCATGGAAATCCTAAAGCTAAAGTTATTTGGAGCTGTATTCCCTTTGCTGTCTGCCGGGAGGTATTGAAGGAGAGAAGCAAAAGAATCTTTGAGGGGAAGATGAAAAGCATGGAAAGTTGGGGTGGAAATCAGTTCAAAGATTGTTATTGGGTGCTGGTTCTTCCAGAATTTGAAGGCCTCAAGAAAGAAGATTTTGGGACTGACTTTTGGCACACTTTAAATGGCAAATTAGGATTTCTTTCTTGCATTGTGTATCATGTCTTCCTTGGATTAGCGAGTCTATCTTTTTTTGTTCTTTATGCTGTTTGCCAGGGTGACTCCTTGGTACCTGTGTTAGTTGTATTTACTCTTTTTAGTAACAAAATCTTCTTGTTTATTTATCTTAAAAAATCAAAGTTTTATTTGTATCCAAGGATCAAAGTATCAGTATTGAGTATCGAATTGGATAGCTCATATACAGATGCAAATACAGATACACTTTGGAAAGACATGGATACGGACGAAAGATATCGAAACACTTGGATAGGCTAAGAAATGCATCCAAATCACATAAATACATTAATAACTCTAAATCTAAAGCTGAGTTATCTGTGAATAAGGTATAAACACATGAAGATGCACACTTTAATAGCTTATATGAAGAGAAACATTGCAAACAACAATACTAACACTCTAAAACATGTGCACATCATACAATTATATGTTATATTTAACATGTAATTTATATGTAAAATGAAATACATAAATCATGTAAGGTAGACAAAATAAATTAATTTATAAATTTCAGTTCTTATTAAATTTTGGGGAAATTAAACCTTAAATTAACTATTTCAGTTTTTATAATTATAATTCTGTTTTGATTTTCATAATTATAATTTTCAATTTTTATTAAAGTTAAAAAGTAATCCAAAAGCGGTTAATACATAATTTCATCGGACTAAGCACCAATGTGTTTTTGTGTCGATGCACATCCGATCATATCCACCGATACGGTTCAATACGGAGGCATATCATGCCGATACACAGAACTTGTGAGATATGTATCCAGTTGTGGCATATCTCATATCTATGGCCATGGATAGGGATACAATACTTCTCATATCAGGAGTATAATATCGATACTTTAAACCTTGTTTGTATCTAGCCAGAATTTGATTGATTATATTTCTATCTTACAGGTACAACAAACTTCTAACAAGAAAAGTGCCCCTGAAATACCGATCCCACAGTTTGTTGTTGTGGATACTTATGAACGAGATTATTCCCGCACCTTCACTCAACCAACATCTTATTTGCGTGGAAGGGGAGGTTTGTTTTTTTTTTTTTTTTTTTTTTTTCTTTTGATCAATAACAGATTTCTTCATTGTAAATTATTTACAATTTATACAGTCAAAGGTCAGAGAGCATGGTTAACACCCCCCATCACTGCCGCAATGCTTCTTACGAATCTCTTAAGGTTGTGCTCAGAAAATTTGTTCCCAATCCACTGCCAATTTGACTAATCCGTCAACCATTCCATGTAAATATCTCTTCACCCAATGTATTTGCAGTGGCACATTCCTTTTGAGCCAGTTGAACTGCTTGATTTCATTTATGTAACTCTATGCTTCATTATTAACCAGCCAACTAATTATCATCTTGAAGTCCCCTTCAATGGCCAATTTTCCACTTACATCTCTTTTGCCCACTGCGCCCCTTGTGGAAGGGGAGGTTTGTTAACTTTGTTCTTTGAATCTTTAGAAACTGTGACAGTATCTTCTACATAATTTATCTTTTATTGGATTATTAAGATTTTGCTTATAATTTGCAGCTCGGGCTGAGCTTGGAGAGTTTATTGAGTATGACCTAGACAATGAGGATGAGGATTGGATCCAAGAGTTCAACAACGAAAAGAAGATTCTTCCACCTGAAAAGTGACATCACTTTACCATGTCCATTTGATATATAATATATATTTTTTCTCTTGTAATGCTTTTGCATTCCTTATATAACAGCATCTGTTCTAATTGTCAATTTCTTTTTATTTAATTGCATTTTTTTTTGCATTTTCTGGTAAATCCAATTTAAGCTGAGGCAGATCTATGTTGTACTATTGTTTAGTTTTGTTTTATTATATTGAGTTATCTGGTTCATTTCCAGCTTATTTCCACAAAATAAACATTTAAATAAAAAAGAAAGAGAAAAAAGAAAAGAAAAGAAAGGGTCTTTTGTACAAGTGAAATACTTCTCTTCAGTCCTTGTTGAATAACTTAAGATAGCCTGATATTGGACACATGGGAACTAGATCATCATGGGAATTTAGTATTTTTGTAACAAAAATATTATTACTTGTAGGCATAAGAATGTAGAGAAATGAAAATGAATCCCAATTACAGAGTATCACTCTCTACTCCCCAACCTGTATACCTTCTAATACAAAGTTTCTCCTTTCAATGGAGCTGTAATAGCTATAAATTGATAGCAACAGAGAATCTTCATAGCAATAAAGAGAAAAGCACAAGAACAACTCACATACCCATTGCTATCTTAACAACCAGACACACACCCTAAAAAGGTTCCAAAGAAACAAAGGCTAGCCCTAATTGGATGGCCCCAATACAATTCTCCCCTGTAAACCCTGCCCTAGCAAGGGAATCTACAACTGAATTGGCTGAACTTTTTCAGGTCCAGTTGGCATTGGTGATTCCTTGAGGGCTCAAGTAATGGCGGTTTTTGAAGGGGTAGGCAGAGCAGAGGAGTTAGATGTGCACAAGTTGATTGTATAAGGAGATTTACAATTGATGATCCAATGGCTACAAAATAAAGAAATGATTTATGGATGTGCAAAAACACAGTAAAGAAGATTAAATGGATAGCCTGGGGTATGGATGTTAGAATTCCGTTGGTGCAAGGGATGGCTAACAGCATGGCTGATTCTTTGGCAAAACAAGGGGTTGGAGAGATCAAATGTTTTGGGCTCAATTGTAAAGCTTTTTGGTATTGGAGATAAACTGTTTTTTCTCCTATTGTACTTATAATCTTTATAATTCATATCCAATCAATGAAGTTTACGTTTATTGATCGAAAAAATAATCTAGCCTCTCTTTAAAAGTGATAAATTGTCCAATTATCTCTCCACCTTCCTGCATCTATCTAATTACCAATTGAGAGTTTCTTTCAATCTTCAAGGAAGTGTATTTGAGCATGGGTGCTAATCTGAGATCTTGAAAAAGTGGCATCAGTTCAGCCCTTGTTCAGTTTAAATTACCTAATCCTAATTAAACAATAGCAGAAGCCCATGATCTTAGAAGGCACCTTTTAGCCCTGATAGACCCAGATTATGGAAACTCAATTTAATGATTCCTTTAAGAGTTGGATAAGGACTCTGGATCTATGTAATGTGGAGAACAGACCTACCAAATCTGTTCTACTGATTTTTACAGTAGAAATCACCTAAGATTAAGTAGAAAATTGAACTTGAAAAGATAGAAAGAAAGCAAGCAAGCTGCTACATGTTTTCTTGGTGAGTTGAAGGAAACCACACTTTTGCAAGCCAAATTCACTTGGTCCAACCTCTAGGAAAACCCCGTATTCAAAACTCGATTGATTTCTTTTTAACTTAGCTTGGGAAAGTTTGTGGGGAAATTTGGTTGCTAGAGCTATGCGCAGGGTCACCTCTGATCATTGTCCTATCAAGTTAGGTTCGGAGTCCTTTGCTACTGGACCTAAACCTTTCAAATTTGAAAATATGTGGCTAACCCATCTGGAATTTGTGAATAAAGTGAAGGAGTGGTGGGGGAGGAGCTAATAGGGATAAACTGGAAGGGAGTCAGATTTCTTAAGAAATTAAAGAGGTTAAGATCTATAATAAAAGAGTGGAATAGGTATCATTTTGGGAGACTTGAGGAACAAAAAAATGAGCGTGATCAATCAAATAGAAGAATTGGATCTGAAGGAATCCCAAAATATCATGTTTGAGGATGCCAAAGGGTTGAGGAGACAACTGAAAGAGGTACTTCTGAGAGAGGAATATAGTTGGAGGAAATCTAAGCATAAGTGGATTAAGGAAGGGGATGGGAATACCAGGTTCTTTCATGACCTGGCCAATGGGAGAAGGAGGAAGAACTTTGTGACAAAACTAGAGGTGGATGGGGAGGTGATTACCAACCAGGATGACATAGCCAGGAAATTTGTGGACCACTTCAAATCAATATTCAGGAGGCCTTTGAATGAGAAAGCAAGTGTGGAAGGGATAGATTGGCCTAGGGTGGAGGATGATAAGGCAAGGTCGTTAGAATGGAATTTTGAGGAAGAAGAGATCAAGCATGTTGTCTTTTTAATAGATAGATCTAAGGCTTCCGGCCCAGATGCTTTTACAATGTCTTTTTGCCAAGATTGTTGGGAGGTGCTAAAAGAGGATTTATGTGATGTCTTTTAGGAATTTGTAGACAATAGCTTTGTACGTCCTAGAGTCAATACTACGCTCTTGGCTCTAATTCCTAACAAGATTGATGCCAATCATCCAAAAGACTTTAGGTCTATCAGTTTGGTGAGAAGTATCTGTAAAATTCTGGTTAAGGTGCTCTCTCTAAGGATTAAAGAAGTCCTCCCATCCATCATTAGGCAAAATCAAGGGGCATTTATCCCAGGAAGATAAAAAACATATCAGTTCCTAATTGCGAATGATTGTGTGGAGGAGATGAAGATATCTAGGCAAAGGGGCTTTGTTTGCAAGTTTGATCTTGAAAAGGCTTACGACTGGGTAGATTGACAGTTCCTCTCTGAGGTATTGAGGAATTGTGGTTTTGGGGAGAGATGGTGTAAGTGGATGCTTGGGTGTGTATCCTGCCACTACTCTATATTGGTCAATGGTGTGGTAAAGGACTTCTTTCCAGCTCGCAGGGATATCAGGCAAGGGGATCCACTCTCTCTGTTCCTCTTTACTTTAGTTGCTGATGTGTTGAGTAGAAGCACTTCTAAGGCTGACAGGGAAGAGATCATTAGGGGTTGGGGAGTAGGGAGGAACAAGATCCCAGTTACCCACATTCAGTTTGCAGATGACTTAATGATCTTTTGTGAAGGGGGATTTAGTGAAAAGGTATCAAATCTGAAGGAGTTAATAAAATGCTTTGAAAGACTTTCTAATCTGAAAATAAATTTGGAAAAGAGTTTCATAGCGGGTATTAGTTTGGAGGATAGGGAGATTGAGGTTATTGTAGGGTGTCTTCAGTGTTCTATCTCATCCGGGTCCTTGTCCTTTTAGGGCTTCCTTTAGGGGCAAACCTTAAGGGGAGTAGGTTTTGGACCCAGTAGTAGAGAAGTTTGAGAAGAGATTAGCCTCATGGAAGAAGAATTACATTTCTTTGGGTGGAAGGACCGCAGGATCACGTTAATAAAAGCCACATTTGCGAATTTACCCACTTACTTTTTGTTTGTCTTTAGAATTCCGCCTAGGGAAGCCAAGAAACTGGAGAAATTAATGAGAGACTTCCTTTGGGAACCAGGACAAGGGAAAAAAGTATCATTTGATTAAGTGGGAAATTGTGTGTAGAAGCAGAAAGGAAGGGGCTTGGGGTCAGGGAGGGTGGTTCAAAAAAATCAAGCATTATTGGGGAAGTGGCTTTGGCGTTGGCCTTTGGAGAGAGAGAGGCTTTGGCATCAAGTGGTGGGGAGTATTCATGGCATCTCAGAGGATGGGTGGGACAAGGTGTATCAAGGTGGGCTAACCTGGCAGCACCGTGGAAAGCCATCCACAAACTCATCCCTTAGTTTCTCAGATTTCTTAGGTATGAAGCTTGTTCTGGTAATTCTGTCAGGTTTTGGGAAGATATCTGGGTGGGAAATACCCCTTTAAAGGACCTTTTCTCTTTGCTGTTCTCTATTTCTTCATTTAAAAAAGAGGTTATTTCAAAATTTGTCTCATCCTCGGGGATAACATTGGAGCCAAATTGGGATTTTGGCTTTTGTAGGGGGTTAAGGGATGCTGAAGTTGATTCGTTATCTCTTTTTCTTGGCCTCCTAAACCAAATTTGTCTAGATCCTTTCAAGTTAGACAAAAGGGCGTGGGTCCTTAGTCCCAAAGGGATGTTTACATGTGCCTCTTTTCTTTTTTTTTTGATAAATCATGTGCCTCTTTCTTTAAGTCCTTGTCCCAGCCTCTTACTCAACAGGTCTTTCCCTCGAAGCAAATTTGGTTCAGGCCAATTCCCCTAACGGTTATGGCCTTTTGCTAGGAAGTGTACTATGGAAAAGTAAACACTTTAGAAAACCTACAAAAGAGAAGACCCCTCCTTTGTATTTCTCCCAACTGGTGTACCATTTATAGAGCTCAAGGGGAGGACTGTTACCATCTATTCATTTCATGTCCACTCTCTACAGAATTGTGGGTTTGGCTTCTCTCTTTGTTTGGGTGTAATTGGAGCTCGCCAGCAGAAATACGGTTGATCTTTGACCAATCTACCTTGAGTTGGCCTACAAAAAGAGGAAGATCAATGTTGAGATGTGCGAGAGCAGCCTTGATTTGGACAATATGGGAAGAAAGAAATGATAGAATATTTCAAGAGAAGGAAAGAAATAAACAGCAACTAAAAGACTGTGTATTGAATAGGGCAATACAATGGTTGAAGACTTTGGATCTGTTCCATCAGTTCTCCTTTAATGACTTTTAGAGAAACTGGTTGGCAATAGCAAGGTGCTCTTCTATCAAGAACAAGGTAGTCCCACTGTTGTGTCTGATAAAACCTTAATAATTAATTCAAAGATCCTCTAACAGCAATAAATCAACTAGAAATGCTAGAATTAACTGAGACACAACTAGAAGTCATCAAAATAGAATTGAAAAACAATTAACTAGTGAAATCAGAAGCTTGTTGCTTCTTTTCTGTTGGTCTCTTTAGACTTGTCACATACCTCTTCTTACTCTAGGGCTGAGGCCTCTCCATCACTATGAGTCTATTGATGGAGGGGGGATGACACAATGTTTGATGCAGGATATAGATAGTAAGAAGAGTTGAAGCAATAAGTACTAAAAGAAAGAATTGAGAAGAGGAATGAGAATACAACAGCAGCAAAGACTTAATGGAAGAGGAATGATAACACAACTAGGGGTGTCCACGGTTCGGTTAACTGAACCATGGCCCCTTTTTGTAAACCAAACCGGTAGTACCGGTTTTTTCATTTTGCCAAACCGAAACCGAACCGGTACCACCGATTAACCGGTCCGCCGGTTTCGGTTTTTGACCGGTTCGGTTCTTCGGTTTTTTATATTTATAATATATATTATATAAATAAATGTATAATATTATATTATAAATAATAAATGGTATATAATATATTATAAGTATTTTAGAAATATATAATATATTTATAAATAGATCATTATAAATATAATATTAAGTATATATTTATATATAATGAATATGTTTTTATATAAAATACATAGAAAATATGTGACATATATTAAAAATATTTATAAAATATATATATAAATATATATACCGGTCAGTTCGGTTAACCGTCGGTTTTTTTATAGGTTAATTGAAAACTGAACCGGTCCTTCGGTTTTTCAAAAATTCCGAACCAAAACGAACCGACCGGTTTGGTTTTTTGGTTTTTCATGGACACCCCTAAACACAACAGCAGTAAACTAGATTTAGAAGGACTTAGAACCTTAACAAAAACATCATTCCTATCATACCTGGATACCTCCACATGCCTAGTGTATTGGTGTTTCCAAACTAGGTTGCATTCCTGTTCCTGTATCTGGACATTAAAGCCTAATTCAATTTCATTTCCAATGCATCATATCACACGACGTCTTCCTCTATATTTATAAACTAGACAAGTCAAAGAGAAACGAATGAGCCAGTTGGGGGCTGGAAACGAATGAACCAGATAATTCCAGAAACTCATTCCTCTCTCATCTTTCTGTTCTTTCAGGTAATGTTGATCTTATTTTATCTTCTTTTTTGGCTGACCCAAGTGCTCATTTCACTGATTCTCAGTTCTAGCCACTACCCAACCTGGGACTGCTGTAAGCCTGTAACCATTTATGAAGTGGGGGTTGAAAAGAACTCAGTAGTGTAGAATGTGAGAGAGAATGGTGAGGTTGGAGAGAGAATATATGCTATTTTACACATGATTCAGTAATATTTTAGTCCTGTTGGTGTGGAATGCTGTCAAATATATAAGCATGACCTCTTCATGAAGAGGGATTCCTGGATTTTATCAGTTGGATAAATTGGTTTTTCTCATAGCCATGGTGGTTGGCTAGATACATTTTTTTTAAGGATGAATAACTTATAAATTTTATCAATGAAGATCAGAAATATTACAAGCATTACAATCAACCTTTGGATGGGGTAGCAATTACTACCCTACCACTTCAAGAACATTGATATTATAAACAAGCTCAATACAATTGATTTCTTGTAGCATTACAATCATCCAGCATATTTGCTCCTTGGTAACCATTTAATCTGTCTTAGCTCATTTCCATAGCCCTTCACTGATTTCTCACTATTTTTTAGTCATACAGTTACAACCTTGGAATCACCTTCTACAATTAAATTATTTATATTCATTTTCTTGGCCCATTGTAGTCCTTGAAGTACGGCTTAAAGTTAAGCCATTGTGGAGTTCCCATCACCAGTTGGATCCAAGAACATAGCAATTATGCGTCCATCCTTGTCTCTAAGCACCTCCCACACCTGATGGACTTGGATTTCCTACACTGCTCCCATCAATGTTTAATTTGACAAACCCCTCCACAGATGGTGCCCATTGTTTATTGAATTTTATTTTCCTCATAGAAGATGCAGCTACCTCCCTCCCACCTTCTCCACAAGTCATCATATGAATAAGAAGAGAACAACTCCATGGAAACATGGGTAAAGCCTCAATGGTGTCCATTGTTTATGCATGGTAAAGCCTTTACCCAATGGACCACCCTAATCATGATATTCTTAATAATTKCACCCTTGGTGCAGGCTTCTTCCTTGAAGATTGTTGCATTCTTCTTCTCCCATAGGTATCACAAGACAGTGATTCCACATACTTCCAAAGTAACTAACCCCTTGGCCGGACTGAAGGAGTCTTGAAATACTCTTTCCACACTATCTGGAGGATCCCATACATAGCGAATTAATGATATAGAGAAAACAGTAACTCTCAAAACGGTTGGAGAAAAATAGATGAGTAGTAGTTTCACCACTTTCTGTCATAGGAAACGCATGGGGGGAGGGCTCCAGCTAAGTCTCCTCTTTTGCAAAACCTTCCAATGGAAAACTTATACTTTAGGCAGCACCAAACCTTTTCAAAGGACCTTTCCAAAGGAGGCACAAGAGGACAAGACAATGGAGTTCAAGGTCTGGGAATAGAGAGGATCCATAGCCAGTGACACCTTATTTTCCCCTAAACCTCTTTTCCGATCGATGTCCCAAGACACGAAGACAACCCTAATTTGCTGTTTTTTTGATCTATTGGAACCTTTGCCTTTGATAACCACAAATATGCATCACAATATATTTTCAAACTTTAATTTTCTATTCAATCTTTTTAAAGTAATAGTGAGGATAGGGTTTCTTTTTTGGGAGAAAAGGATTGTTTGTATTGCTTATTGAGTACTAGTAAATTACAATTTGTCTACAAAATGCACATGTTGCTTATCAAAACTACTTTCTTTTTCATATGCTGCCATGTGTAGCACTTGAGCCCAACAACTTGTTCACACCTTTTTCCTTAATGCATTTTAATTTTGTAGTAGATAAAGTCTAAATTCCGAGGTCTCAGTTGATGATGACCGACATGCATGTAAGAAGCTACCTTTTGGTGTTCATGTCCATGGGAGTATGTACATTCAACAACCTAGAAATACATGTGTTAGATGATTACAAAATATTGTTTTGGAAATTGTTTTCTTTAAAACCATTGAACAATTCTTGCTGCCTTTTTTTCCTTTTCTAAAATTGATATTTCTCCTGTCACCAGTGGTAATTGTCTGTGCATATGCATGTCAAAACAGGTTCGAGGCTCTTCTTTTCAAATTGGAGGTTTTGGATCACAAGGCCCGGGAAAGAGCAGGAATCATAATGCCTACTCTTGGTTCACCTGTCCCTGTTCTTTTACAGTTGGATTCTGCAGTTGAGGTGAATTAGGTTTCATTTCTTTTGAAGATAAATAAAGAAAAATAATTATTAAGAAAGAAGAAAGAAATAAAAGAATGATGAAATTATAATTGTAAAACATTATGAGCCCTGCTAGCCACTGCTACACTCGTATACCCATTTAAAACTTCAGCCTACACCATTTACATTGGTAGCTAAAGAATCTGCTAGATTGTTCCTTTCTCTTGGGATCCAGCATATCTGTGCTCTTAACATAGCTAGCATTCCTCTTATTTCTCTTAGGATACTTCTTTACCTCCATATTCTGGGTTGCCCTCAATTGAACAGTTAAATGTTGTCCTGAAATCCCTTTCCACCAAAATATCCTTTAATTTTTGTGATGCTGCCAATTTCATGCCATAGGGTGCAGAAATTTTTGCTCGAAGAACTATTCCTTGTTCTGTCAGGCCAGAATAGAGTGACAAAATTGCTCTATTTGCACCTCTTATAACCCCACCATGCCATTCCACTTGCTCCCATATAACTTCCGTCAAGATCCTATTTGACTTGTGGAGAATAAGCTTAACATTCACTTTTTTATGTGAGAATTAACAATTTAAGACCCTAACATGGACTTGTTTGGGTTTGCCTCGAGGGGCGTTGGTACAAAGGTGGCTCGTAGAATCACGAATGCAATATATTTTACACAACGTTCAAAATTTCGATACATATTGGCGGCTTCCCGATATGCCTCTACAGGGGGAGTTTCAGGGTCTGACTTGGTTCAGGGGGTAGATGGGCTTAAACCGACCCCTCTGAACCAGTTTCAAAGAAAAACTAAAAAAATAAAAAATAAAAGACGAGCAAAGATACAGGCTGATACGCCCCTACCGGCATATCGATATGTTGAACCTTGGATTTACATTACATTAGTTACTTGAAGCAATGCAATTGAGGAAAAAAAGAGATAGTGGGTTTTACATGCTTGAAAATGCTTTATGTGTATGGTTTTATTTTTAAATTTTCATTTGAATATGCTTTACATGTTATGTTTATGTATTTTAATTTTAGATAATTGGTTTTTTAAAACACTTATTTTAAAATTTCAGTTTATAATTTTATTAATATTACGTTTAATATTGTATGCATTTTTTAAAATTTTTGGTATTTTTTTAAATTTCTGACATTTTTTTAAAATTTTAAGTTTTTTTTTTTGTATTTTTGTGCCTTGCTTCAAAAAGGCGCACTCCTTGCCTTGACACTGCCTGTTCCTACACTGATTGTGTGACCACCAGTTGAGAGGGCGTACACTCTTTGCAGAACAACATGACAATCTTTGGCAATAGGTTTAACTAATTAATTATATATTATAGTATATTATTCATTTATTTTCCTTGCAACTCCTGGGTGTCAACTCTATTGCAATGCTGATTGCATGTATACATTATTCTGCACTAGTGCTCTATAGTGAACCATAGAGGAGGGGCCTGGGTATGGTGTAGATGAGAGATGACATCTGAGGAGAGAATTCTACATATTTGTGTAACTAAATATATGCACATTGTGTGTGTGTGTGGGGGGGGGTCGTGAAGGAATGCAAATCTCCAAAGGTGTAAACTACTCATAGAAGGAAGTAACAAAGCTTGTGAATGTTAAGCTTATGCACTGGCTTAAGCAGGTTGGCCAGTTCAGAGTAGACCTGTTCACGGGCCTGGCCTGACCATCGGGCCTAGATCTTGAGCCTGAGCATGGTCGTATATAAACCGGGAAGCCCGATTTGGACAGATATTTTATAATAAATTAATTATATATTATTAATAATATATTCCACTCTATTCATTTAAACTTCTATGTCATAATTAAAAGGTTGTCTCTACCCCTAGCATAGATGTAATTAAGAGAATCTGATGCATAGATGTAATTAAAAGGTTCCCTCAAAGTGAGCTACCCTATGAATCTGATGCATAAGGTCATGGGTTCAGGAGCTACAGAACTCAGGAAGACTGGGAGATGGAGAAGATTGGTGAAGGTGGAAGGGAAGACTGTTGTTCGAGAGCTACAGAACTCAAGGTAAGGGAGATGAATGTGTCGATGGTGCTGTTAGTGGGAAAAGAAGTAATAGAATTGTTTCAGGGGTTTGTGGTAGAAGCCTTATCTCAGAGAAGAGAAGATACCTATAAGAATACAAAGATTGAGGTAAATAGAGGGTTTAAGGCTGAAAGGAAATCAAATGCTAAAGGAAGATTCATTACACTATATGAGTTTTTCGGTAAAGGGAAAACAGATTATATGCTTACCTGAAGGAAGGGAAAGTGAAGGATGGAAGGAGATTTCAACAGTCCTCAGAGAGTTCTTGGAGTAGAGTGAGCAGCAAGAAGCCCAGGTTTATAACAAGGAAAGGGAGACCACTTAAGCAGTGAACAACATGGAGAACCAGAGCAGGTCATAGAGGAGCAGAAGGATCCAAAAGACCTCTCAATGGTAATTAGAAAGGGTGCTCAGGGAAGTAGGGTGATTGCCTAACGGAGGTATGGAGGAGTGGAAAAAGAAACTGGTGATTCAAACTAAGCAGCGGCCAGTGGATTGGAAGTTCATAGCAGTAATGGAATTAAAAAAAAAGCTCCATTAGTATTACGGTATTACCCCCCATTTGAAAAATGTAAGGCTCTAGTCAATTTACTGGATAACAATGTCAAGATGGTGCCCTCTGTCTAATGCCAGAGAAGCTGGTATTGAAGATATTATCATCGTTAGAATAATTGGGATGCTCTTTCATCTGTGGAAAGAAGAAGTTTTTGAATCCTTGGCATCCATTTGCAGTTCTCAGTTGGTCGGTGTTTTTGCATGTGATCTTCATTCAGCAGCCTTAAAGCTCAATGGTGTGAAACCAGAAGAAACACCCAGAAAGGTGGAGTTTGTGACAGATGGTTCATCTTCCTACTCTGTGTGCATGACAAACTCCATGAAAGCCTTTCTGGGGAAGGAAGGTAGGAGGGAAGAATATGAACAGGTGGAGAGGGAGTGCTTACGTGGCAATTCCTAGTTTGTTGGGGCATTAGGGAACAAAAGTTTCACCAAATTGGAACAGCAGGGGTAGAGTGTGGAGAAAGCCAAACGACAAAAAAACAGTGGCAGATGGCTCTTCATATGCCCAAGTGTTAATTAATAGTTTTAAAGAAGACACATATGTCTAGATAAAAGAGAATTTAAATTCAGGCCAGCAATTAAGTTGAGGAATTGCTGGGGTCAACCAGAAGGGAGAGTCAAACCGGGTGGGCCTAACAGATCAGGCGCATCCGCGTGGCTCTTTAAGTAGTCACGTGAAGGAGGCTGGGATTAAAGAGGGAGTTGGGCTGGTTTTGTCAAAAGCGATATGTGGAGAACATATGTTGGAAGGTGGGCCGACATTCAGGCCCATAAAAGAGAAGGCACATGTTTTCTTAAAGACTCACATGAGTCAAGTTGGGGGGATGATGGGGGATGGTATTTTGCGTCCATCATCGTCCTTAACCGAAGTTTGACAGATGAGTGTGGGAAAGGAAAAAGCTTCCACACAGTCGGTTCTGTGGTGGATTCCAAGAGAAGACAAACATGGTGGATTGCTGGAAAAATGCAGCCCAAAATATGTCTGTTGCTCAAGAAGATTAGCAGGGGTTGGGTCATATAGGAGGAGGTTGGGGAAGGTTAGTGCGTCTAATCGGTTGAAGGCAAAAAAAGTAGCTGGATTTAAAAATCATGTCTTAAAACCTTCCAGCACTGAAGAGCTGAGCTCGTCAAGTTGTCTGAGAGGTTTGAAGGTTGAAACAGGCCCAGATACGATCCCGGATGAATCTCAAGTGCTTTTGCTGGAACCAGATGATGGTGCCACGAAAGGTAGGGCTGTGGTAGAGGAGAGTTATAGGGTCTTGACGACAATTAGTTCTGCTGAACCAGCTGAGGTTGAAGGGGATGAGTAAATGCTCTAGGTTATGCATCAAAGAGTAAGGTAAGTTCATTAAGGGCTGGAAGCATGGTCTTGGACCTGGTTTTTGGGGGAGAAACGAGTGCAGTGGAAATGGATCTGGCTTGTGAGGAGGAAGCTTTTGAGAAAATCGGTTTTAGTAGGAAAATTGGGGGTGGATTTAGGTATGAGAAAGGTTGAAGGAGTCTCAAAAAATCTTGTTAATGACACACTTAAAACAGGCAGCTGGTTCATGTTACCAAAGTCTTTCATAGGCATAAGGAAGGGCTAGTTGGGGACGACCCTTGCTGCAGATTCAAAATAATTTACAAAAGGAATGGGTCGAAAATCAAGGCTTGAGGTCAAACCTTGATGAAAGATTTTAGGTTCTTTTCCATCCAATAAAAAATCTGAGGACTCGCAAAGGGAGAAGGGGGAAGAAATGGGTTCAATCTTACAGAAGAGAAGGAAGGTGAAGAGAACATCGCTGAGAAGGAGGTCATAGAAAAGGTAGCAGTGAAGGGAGGGGGGAAGGGTGACAGATGTAGAGTGTTGGGAAATATGGCAATCACAGAATCTCAATTTGAGGAAGAAGAGGAAAGGAGAGGGGGGGCGTGGAGTTGAAGAGTCTTCTAAGGAAGGTAACTCGGACAAGGGGAGGGTGGGTATTGATTGACTAGTGGATAGACATGTGGAAATTGGGAAGTCTCTTGGATAATTCTTTTTGGGGTGAGGGAAGTGGTGGTGAGAAGAGCAATTGAATATTAAAAAAAATAGAAAGGAAGAATCTAACAAATTGAGAGTTCTTGGGGAAGGGGGGAAGGTAAAAGAGGAGAGGAAGGAATTGTGGACAAAGAATGATGATGGGGGGTGGGGCTGGGTGAAGTGGCCACTGTTGAGGGGGGAAGTTTAAGAGTTTTAGCAGAAGTCTCGGGCTTGGTGTCTGGGTTCATTTATTTTGCCTTCAAGGTTATGTTTCAAGACTGTCTTTATCATGGTTGGAAAAGAAGAAAGTCCTTTCTGTAGTGCAAGTTTTGATAGTGTCAAGCTGTGGGCATATGTGGATTTTATTTTGTTTGTCTAAGTTTTTCTGTTGTTTTTGGTAAAAGTCCTGGGTGGGGCTGGTTTGCGAGTATGTAGTTTGGATTTGAAGTTAAGGGGCCTTTTCTTGTGGTTGTTGTGTGGTGATATCTTATCACATTCCTTGTTTGATATATGCCTTATTTTTTCCTTTAATAATATTTTATTTTATCTTCAAAAATGTAATATATTATATATTATATAATATTTTGTATATTATTTAATATATAGAATAGTATATAATACATTTTTTTTCTATTGATATTATTATTACATGATATTATATAATATTTATTATATTTTTATTGTGTATATAGTTATATACTATTATTAAGTTGGGCTCGGGATTGGGTGGGGACTATTTGGGAAAGCCCGAGCCCGCGGGCTTAACATGAACAGGTCTAGTTCAGAGGTATATTGCCTGACTTTTTTCTTTGACGTGTTGACCTTCCAAGAGGGTCCTTGGTTGGATTCCTTCCTCAGAAACATGATGTAGCTCAATTGAAAACTGTGTAGCAATGGGAGCCTTGGGCATAGGAGTTGTTTTCTGCTAGTTCTAGGTTGATATAATTTTGGTCCACTCTGGTCCAGTGGGATGAAGAATCTACCAGAATGACTTTGTTCCCTCACCTCCGGCTCTCAGATTATCTTTCTCCTTGAGATGCAGCCACTTGATAAATGAGGATGTTTTACAGGTGATTATTTGTTGGATGACTGTTCCCTCATGAGGGTCCTAGGGCATGAGTCGTTACATTAGAGACAGAATATCTTTGGTGAGCAAGGGTGAACCCTCCATTCTATTAGACCCCAGGATCTGCAAATTTATTTCCTGTCTTGCACAAATAGGCATTCATAGGCAATAGTATGTCAGAGATTTGTTTCTTTGTACCATTTTGTCATTGGTTTTACTTTGTCTTTTGTGGGATTGGACCCTGGGGTTGTATTGCCTGGGCTATCTTCTGTTATAGGATTGCTTTTCCCATAATCTTCTTCCTTTGATCTTTGTGAAAATTCTGTAATTAAAAAAAAAAATCCAGTCCTTGTCATTTTGGTTTGTCATGAGATGAGGGTTTTCCCTTAGAGGACATGCGGAATGTTTTGCTTGAGAGATTGATTTTTTCATGTTTTAACTGTTTGCAGTTGCCTTTATGATGCAGGCATTGCAGTCTCATTCCGTAAAGTATGCAGTACTGCAATCTGTATATAACTACTGGAAGACAAAGGTGTGTTTTAGACTGTCCAAGTTGGTTTCCTATTTAAGTATGTTTGTGCATGTCAAGCAGTTAACAGTTTAGTGGTTTTTCTTGTTCTTCATTTATGTAGTTAAGAGCATATTTTATTTTGTTGTTAACAAATGGTGTAGTTTCAGTTTATTTATGAATTATGTTTTATGTTTTATGTTGTTGACTAAATTCTTATGTATGGTTTATTGCTCTTTTTATCAGCGAGAGCGGTGGCAAAAGCCTATTCTACGCCGCTTGCAGGTGAGTTTGGTTACTTTATTAATTCATAGTTGTTATTGGGTCCATTGTCATCCAAGTTAACTGACTTAAAACTACCCTGCTTGTTCATCTTGGACCTGATTTGTAAGTTGGTTAAATTAACCTCCACATGCTAAATACTTGGAATGACCTATATGTGTAAAATGTTCTATATAGAGTAAACTGACATAGGGCTGGAAAACCACTTCTCATATATTTACACTTCAGTCATTAGGAAAAACACAGTTACCACTACTGACATGACCAAAGACCATACTGCCCTTTTATTTTATAACCTTATAGCTTACCTTTAGTAAACCTCAAGTGGAGCATAGATGTCGATCATGCTCAACTTGCCTAGAATCCTGTCAAATTAGTAACTCCCTTGGTTAAGAAGTTAACAAGATGATCATCTATTCACATAAAGGTGCTGATTTGTGTCAGATACTTCAGTTTTGACTGTAAATTTTGTAACTGATAACACATCCATTTCCATCCATACTATATCCGGGTAGGATAAGTTTTTGAAGGTAGATATCATTTGTCAAAATTTGTTTAAATGTAAATAAATAACACATGGAGAATTTTTTTTTATATTACAATTTGTTACAAAGTGCAATTTTACATTTTCTAAAAGTGTTAATGCTATAGAGAACATCCAAAAGTATCGAAATCCTTATATTGCTCGATTTCACAATGGTCAATAATGTACTTGGGTTTGGGAATTGGGTCTACCCTTGGGAGACAATCTTAAATCCACAATCCTTTGGAACCTGGTAGTGGAAAGATTCACCAAGAAGCTGACTGCTAAGAAGAAAATTTACATCTCTCTTGGGGGAAGTGTAACGCTAATTACGACAACATTAACTAGCTTACCCATTTACTATCTTTTGTTTTTAAGGTTCTGAGTTCAGTAGCAAAAAGGTTAGAGGAAAGCATGGGGCTTTCTTTGGGAAAAGGACAGTTCTAAACAGGTTTACTTGGCAAAATAGGAGTTGGTTTGCAGGAGTCTCATAGAAGGTTAGAAGGTGGCCTAGGGTTGGGGAGGATTACACTTCTAGGAAAGTGGGTGTGGAGGTTCTGATAAGCTATGGCATGCAATCTGATACTGATAATGTCTAGGTTATCAAGAAAACCCTACAGAAACCTACATATAATGAGGAGAGAAAGAAAAAGAATAGAAGAAGACTGAGGGGCCGAACTAAAGAGAATAGCCTACCAACCCAGTCAAATGTTATTTATAGATTTCTAAAGTGAGGTATGATTACTTTTATTCCCCTGATTAAGCATGTGCTACAACTTTAGTTAGGACATGGTTGTCCATTTACAATGACATTAGATCATAATAAAAACATAATGAAAGTACTAAAACACCCCTGATTAGGTGACTGCTAACACTCCTCAATCTGGAGAGCATATATCATAAGGTTCCAGATTGTTACATATGTATTCTACTACTCTTCTGTGGCTAAAACTCTTGGTAAAAAATCTGCTTATTGCTTCTCTGAACCTACATTGATATGTTGATCTCTCCACCAAGTACCTTTTTCTCTCACAAAGTGACAATCAACCTTTATGTGTTTGGTCCTTTCATGAAAGACCGGATTAGAAGAAATATGGATACTTGCTTGATTGTCACAATATGGTTTCATAGGTCTTCTCATGGGTGAATACAACTATTTCAAATAGATGCTTTAATGGCATAAAGCTCACAGTATGTGTCATATCTCTATATTCAACTTTAGCACTATCCTTGCAATAACAATATGCTTTTTATGTTAGACAGTTATATGCCCTTAGCTCCAATCAGAATAATGTACATTATGAATTTATTGTAAATGAATAAAGTACATATTTGATTCATGTTCTTGTGGTGTGTTTCTGTGTAATACCCTTAAACTGGACACTTATGAGACTCGTGTTAGTTTAGAATGTTTACAGCCGTTGGATAAGTCTGGGGAGATTTATCCTGCCAAGGCTGACACTGGTATGTTGCCAAATGTTGGGGTGGCCTGTCTCAACCGCTAGGGTGAGACCCAAGGCACATGTAGTGTAGGATTAATTCAATCATTGAACTGAACCAGATTTCCAATATTGCTTTGGACCTTGGAGATTGATGGGCAAAATTGGAAAGTTACACCTGACCCCTAGACTTGATTATGATACTGCACTAGGTGTCGGATTGGGTTGTCTTTGATATGCCAATCAGTGAGATCCTTAGCGGGGTCAAAACCTGGGTATGTTGGGATAGTCCGAGAATTCATCTGAGTGGGTGATCATAGTGACAGGATCAGCCCCTT